CATGGTACAGGGGCAGGGCTGCCTACCGGCACCCAGGTGGTGGGGCTTGCTGTTCTCCGGCTCGGCTCCTTCTTCTTCCGGCGGTCTTCGGGGTTGGTACTTTCATCCTGGCGGCCAGGGATAGGTCTTTCATTTTGGTGGCTTTCTTTTGGCGGGCCCATCTGGTGCGCGGTTCGCGTCAGCACGGCTCTGGCTAATGTCCATTTCGGCTCCGCCGCGCCTGTGCCTCCACGTCACTGCGCCTTCCGGCTCCGCCTCTGCCGTCATCCGTTCCACTGCTCGATGTTGCACTTGCTGGCCACCAGGGCTCGCCCCGCCGATCTCGCCGCCGCCGCTCATTGCTCTGCCGCCGCCAATGCTCCCACCACACCTCGCAACGGAGGAGGGTGCCCCCTGCCACCTAGGGCAGGTACCCATTTATCTACTCACTGTTGTTACTGCTTTCGAACCGCTGGGTGGGCGGGAGCTGGGACTAGGGCCGGGAGCTCACCCCGGCCGCAGTGGGTCTCGAACAGCCATAGTGGCTGTTCATTGTTATTACAGCAGGCGTTTTACCGCCTGCGCCACCGCTCCCTTTTGGTCTTGGTCGCTCTGGTGGATGACATGCTCCAGGAGATGGACAAGGGGAGTGTGACCCTGTTAATTATCCTGGACGTCTTGGTGGCTTTTGATACCATCAGTCCTGATAGTCTTCTGATCATCTTTCATGAACAGGACTGTGAGACACTGTTCTGCAGTGGTTCCAGTCCTATCTCAAGGGTAGGTTTCAGAGTGTGGTGCTGCGGTACTGCTGCTCTGCCCCTTGGCCAAGGTTCCATCTTGTCCCCCAAGCTTTTCAACGTCTTCTATGTAAAGCCACTGGGAGAGGTCATCCAGAGATTTGGGCTGAGCTGCCACCAATATGCAAACGACACTCAGCTATATCTCATGCTGCCAGCACATGGACTACCAGCAGATCCCAGGGAGGCTGTGGAAACCATGAACCGGTGCCTGGAGGTAGTTTTGGAATGGATAAGAGCCAGGACTTTAAAAAAAAAAAAGATTTGCCGCAACTCTCAAGAGGGAAATGAAGTTTTCAATCTGTATACTGAAAACTCATAAACTTTTAAACATATTCAAAAGAATTTTGTTGAAGAGGTTCCAGAACTCCATTCTGGTACGTTCCCTCAGAAAACAAGCCCTGGAGGGCTAACAAGCTGAACTTAATCCCGACATGACAGAGGTGCTACTGATGGGGGGAAATTCTGAGCCAGGAAATGAGTTATCCCTGTTCTGGATGGGGTTGCGCTCCCCTTGAAGGAGCAGGTTCGTAGTTTGGGGGTGCTCCTGGACCTGGGCCTTCTGTGAACCTAAGAACATAAGAGAAGCCGATGCTGGATCAGGCCAATGGCCCATCCAGTCCAACACCCTTATCACACAGTGGCTAAAAATACCAGGTGCCATCAGGAGGTCCACCAGTGGGGTCAGGACACTAGAAGCCCTCCCACTTTGGGATAAACAGGTGGTAGCAGTGGCCAGGGGCGCTTTTCACCAGCTTCAGCTAGTAAGCCAGCTGTGACCCCTCCAGGACAGGAAGGATCTTGTCACTGTGGTGGATGCCCTGGTAACATCTAGAGTAGATTACTGCAATCAATGCACTGTATGTGCAGCTGCCCTTGAAGACTGTTTGGAAGTTACAGTTCTTACAGAATGCTGTTGCCAGTGTGTTGACTGGAGTGGGTCATAGGAACCATATCATTCTGATCTTGTTCTACCTACACTGGCTTTCAATTTGCTTCCAGACTCAATTCAAGTTGCTCGTATTGACCTTTGAAGCCCTATGTGACCTTGGACCTACCTTAAGTACTGCCTTCTCCCATATGAACCTGCCCACTCACTCTGGTCATCCTCTGAGGCCCTGCTTCCGTTGCCCCTGCCACCTGAGGCTAGACAGGTGGCAACCCAAGAGGGACCTTCTCTGTTGTGGCACCAAAACTTTGGAACTCCCTCCCCAGGGGGCTCCATAAGTCTCCCTCCTTTAACCCTCATTCTAGTGTTGTTTATGAGTTTTTAACTTAATTTTATATTGTTGTGTTTATGTGTTTTTAATGGATTTTTATATTTTAATTGTATTTTAATTATTTAAATGTTTTAATGTTCACTGAGTTGTGGACCCTGATTGGGTGGAAAAGTGGCATTAAAATGTTTTGAATTAAATAAATTAATATTGCAATCCCATTAGAAAACTTCACTTGAAAGAATAATTGGATTGAGATGGCATTGGGGTCTAAAAATACATTTTTTTTAGTGTTTCACAATGCGCTTCCTATTTTGCTGCTGGGCTGCAGGAGAATTAGTTACCCAGAAGCACACTTAAAAGCATTTATTGTACCTCATTAAGCTGCGGGATTGCCCTAAAAATGCCTCACCCTCCCGCTGTTTTTGATAGTGAACGCCCATCTTGACGTTCTAAGGAACTTGAATGTTAGCTCAGTTTTTGTGATGCTTTTGTTTGATACCAGTAAAAAGGCATTATACTATTGTTGTTTTGGAATTTTCTGTGGCTCATCCTGGTTGCCAACAATTTTGTCTATTTGGGGCAATGTCCCAGAAGTCTATTTTATTAAACCTCTCCATTTTCCTTAATGAGAACTGTACGACATACCCATAAAGGGGTTTTATCAGTATTATTCCAAAGGTGCTTAGTGAAACTCCCCCCCCAACACACACACACATATAAAATGCACACACACAAACATGGCAATTGTATGAAACCAAGGGTAAATTTATTAATTGGTTTAATACCTATTCAAATTAATACTGCATACATTTTTATGTAAAGGTCTTTTAAGTTGTAGATACGGATCTATTTTGAATGTAAACCTTACAGGTAGAATCCTAAAACCCTTTTTCAAGCATACTGCTACAAACTGTACCATAACATTGGTTCATGCCATTATAAAATAGCAAAGGCACGAACCAGAAAGGAATTTAGGATTAGTATGCAATCCTACACACAATCACCTGCAAGGAAGTCCTGGTAATGGTACTTAACTTCTGAGTAAACATGTTTGGGATTCAACTGTTAATCTTAATGGAATTTAATCTAATTTAGAATCCTTTAGATGGTCCGTTTAGTTTCTAAGTTGTCAAGGCACTTTCTGCTGTAAGGATTTTAGGATTTGGTATTTGTGTAGTATTTCTTGCATCTACATGCTATGAATAGCACTGAAACAGCAAGACATTCTGACATATTAAAAATATATAGTCTATCAGCTCCATCCAGAGACCCTAACATTTAATAAGCATATTGACTTAATTGGAAATATCCAAATCTAACCGGAACTGTGTACTGGGTTCTGAAGTCTTGATCCTGCACAAACATTGAAAATAAATCTGCTTACATTGTTTGTAAGTATACGATATCAATTATACTGTACTAATCCTGACCAGAGTTTACATTGCTCTCAACTCTAATAGTGCATACACTTTCCTTTGGATGGCTGTGAATTTTTAGGCATCATCTTAAAAACCATTTTATGCAAAAACAAAGCTTGCCATGCTATTACAGAAAACAAAATATTAGTGGGCACCTATCAAAAGCCATACAATATGGATATAATCGGAAAATATTGGGTTGGAGCCAACCAGCTTTTCTGCTGGCGAAAACGGGGAGGAGGGAAATACCGCCTGGTGCTGGGAATCATGGGACCTGTGTGGACGAAAGTCATATGGCTATACTAAGGATGTGAATAAGGTAAGTGAGTGAAAAAGCTGGTGGGGTCTAGTCCATTGTATTCATGACATCACCCCTGTATTTTATTTCATTATATTCATATACTTCATTTATACCCACTTTTCTTCCCAATGGGGATCCAAAGGGGCTTACAACACTCTTCTCTTCTCCATTATCCTCACAATAGCTCTGTGAGGTAGGTTAGGTTGAGAGTGTATGACTGGCCCGAGGTCGGTCACCCAGGAGGTTTCACAATGGGCAACTATATGAGATGAGATCAGGGTTTTTTTGTTTTGTTAAAAATGTGATCTTGGACAATGAACATAATTAGAATTTTAAACATCTGTATTTTTAGGACCAGCTTTCTCAAAATGCTTATCCAGATAAGAGGCCTTTCAAAGGTATGCCTCTTGCGTTACACATTGAAAGGTGTTGATTAACAGAAAATAAAATAATCTAACTGTAGGGTAGCCAGTAGCTGATTACCTAACCAGGAGCCATACTCAACTGCATTGGAGCAGATGAGACAGACACAGAAACTAGGGTACTTAAGTTATCTCATGGTGGTGTGGTGGGCTACGCTGTTGCATTTAAATGGCTGCTTTAGCGCTAGTACAGAAGAGACACTCTGTCAGAAGGCTGGAGAAAGCTATGGCTCTTACTCTGCAGGCAATGGATTAAGGCTGCAGTCCTAGAGATACTTTCCTGGAAATAAACCCCAAAGACTAACATAGGACTTACTTCCAAGTAGACTTTCTTAGGATTGCCCCCAAAATGGATTTCTGTACCCAGTCGTTATGGCTACTACTCTTTGCCTTGGTGAGGCAGAAGGCAGATCATATAATACTGTGAAAAACATCCTGCATCAATATTGGCTCACACATATTAGTAAAAGTCTTGAGGTTATGTCTAATAATATGAATATATGGATACCCAGATTTGGTTATGAATACCTACATTCATGAAATCTATTTGTAATCTATAGTCCTTTAATTATCGTGGACTCAAACATAATTATACCTCTTACTGTAAAGAGAGGGTATTCAGAAATTGAGTGCTACTGAAGCTATCGGGTTTGGAAATTCCTGTAGATTTGGGGGTGGGGCCTGGGGAGATTGGGGCTTGGGGAAATGAGGGACCTCAGTGGGTCTAGTTACCAGGTAATGCCTGGCAATCAGTGGGAAGAATGTGGGTGGGGATGAGGGGGCACAACACCAGCTGCAGCTTCAGGTTACAGTTAAAAAAAAGTGACATAGGTAACTAGGAATCACCAGAAACTCTATTGTCACTTCCACTTTTTTACTGGAAGTGATGTGATGCTGCAGGTTTTTAACTTTTTTTCTCTCCTGCCATGTTTAGAACAACAGTGGGCAACGGGAGCAGAGAACTGGGGATTCCCTGCCCTGACCAGGGACATGGCAGCCCTATCAGTGGGGGTGTAACACCAGAGAGTGCCAGAGTGCAGCCATTTTCTCTACGGAAACTGATCCATGTTGTCTGATGATCAGTTGTAATTCCAGGAGATCTCCAGGCCCCATCTGGAGGTTGGCAACTCTAGAGGAAGGGCTGAGCAGTCACTTCAATGGCCAAAGAGGAACAGTAAGCACTGGGGACAAAATGTTGACACACTCAGTTTAATGTGAGAGGACACCAGGGCACAGTAAGGTAATCTCCTTTTCTATGTTTTATTTTGCACCCTAGGTAATGGCGGAATACCTTCCAGACACTGGTTTGTATCCTACTACACTGCTTAGCAATGTTTGAAGCTTTATTTCAGCCTGAAGAGCCTTCCTCAGATGGAACTGGTTCGTCTTCCCCTGGAAGAACGACTTCCGTTCAAGGAAGGCTCCCAAATTTGCTGAGTAGTGTGGTAGGATGCACGCCACTGTTTTAAGTAGAGTACAATATGTGTAAATAAATGCTTTGGATAGTCAAACAATCAGTGCTGTAATATATACATAACATATAAGGTTGTGAAGATGAAAAGAAAGTAATATTCATCATTTTATCTTTTTAATTTTTCCTCATCTTTTTCTTTTTAAGAAACAACATATGCCCAACTGCACAAAAACTTATTTTACATTGCACATTTTTGTTTTGACACCGCACAAGAAGTGTCTAGCTGCATATTAGAATAAACCATGTAGCGTTACGTTGAAGAAGGCAATTTTGTTTTCTTGGTATGACTTCAGGATGTCATATCAACCATTTAGATATAGTTGAAGAAGAGACTGCAAAGGCACTCAAAACACCAATAAGCAGCAAAAAGCTGGAGGTCGGCTGTTTCCCAGCAGCATTCTATAAAAGAAAGAAATATGTTTTATCTCTCTTGTAGAAAAAGATTCTTAGGCAGCCCAGCACAGTTCATGACACAGAAAACAAAAAGCAGATTCAGTGAAGTTCGTGATAATAAAAAAAATAAAGTTTGCAATTATCTATACCTATGGTGTTTGAGTAGAAAAGAGTAAGGGTCACCTTAGACTAACAAAATCTGTAGTAGGTATGAGCTTTCGTGAGTCACTGACACCGCTTCTTCAAATATGGTGTTTGAGAGTATCCACTTGCGTTCACACAAATGCTGTGCTGCGGTCGATCATACTCAGGTCCTTTCTGCACTAGACCTTAAATCCTGGCTCTACCCTGTCCCCGAATTTACATTCTACACGACATGCGAGTTCACCCCTGTAATTTTTGTTTCCACATTACATTGAGGTCGCCTCAATTTCGCCCCACACTTGTCCCAGGATAAACGGATGCTGTTATAACCAGGGATAAATACAAGGTATTGTGTCACGAGTTGAACTCTGATGAAACCAGGGATGAGATCCAAGTGTGGAAAGGACCTTAATGTGGGAGTCTGACTACTCAGAGAGGAATATAAGAATTGCCATGTTGGATTACATCAAAGTCCATTTAGGACAGCATTCTTTTCCGCAAAGTGGCCAGCCAGGTACCTCAGCACTCACAAACAGGGCATGAATCTTCCCAGCCTAACTCATGGTTATACATTCAAGCAGGTGCTCACCTTTAAAAATCTCTCTGTTTCTCTGTTTGGCTGCAGACGGGGTGTGGTAGATAGAGGGGCTTTGGCCTTTCCTTCCACAGCATTTATACCACCAGAAAGCATGCTGGGAGGGCCCTTCTGGTGCTGTGTACCCATCCAAGGGCACATGAAGCCAGAGGAGACAAACAGGGCCTACCCAATGCTGTTTCCAGGGGCAAAAATGCTGCAGAGAGAAACCTGAGGCCTCTCCCTCCCCTGTGCCTGGTTTACAGCCAGAGAGCTTTTTAAAAGGACAGTCCCTGCATGAACATATAACCATGAGCCAGGATAGGAACTTGTGTCCTGACTCCTAGTTTTCATGGAAAGATCGAGTGGAAAGGTCAAGAAAAAGGGGGAAAAAATAATACTTTGGGAACCGTGTACTTACTTTGATCTGAGACTGGCCGCTTTGGTAACCCTGTTAAAATACCAGAGACAAATTATTTCCTAGTAATGAGACTTATTATTTGCACTAGAAATGTAAAACAAGGAATTTATAAGAGCCCACGTTTAGTATTGATCTAAACTTGATGTTCAGTCCACAGTTTTAACGGCTTCACTCCTACAGGGCTGTACATTACTATAAATTGGGTTTTTGAGTTAACACTTCTGTTGTTTGGACTGGGTGGGAGCAACTTGGGGCCCTGGTCTTTATACAGTGTACAGGATGACCACTCACCCTTTGTGTGGCCTTCCCACTCCACTGCACGTATCTGTCCACTTAGGGCAGATCTATAGGTTATACAAGCCCCATCACTGGCAGAGATTTAGAGAGG